GACTTACGATCACAATTGAGTCCAAGATTTGTTGTTAAGTGAGACATGTGAGTTTTGTCCCATTTTATGTCCTTTCTTGCCATCGTTGTTAAGTGAATCACTGCAGTTGACAAGTTAGTAACACGGCTGTTAAGTGAATCTGGCTTCCCCATTGACTTTGCTTGTCAGAAGATTCCAAAAGATGATCATATGACCCCAGGACACAACAACAGTCATAAATATGATCCAGTTTCCAAGCATCCAAATTTTGATCACATGATCATAGGGATTCTGCAAAGGTCGTAACTTCGAAAAACGATCATAACAGTGGTGGGATTCAAAACTTTTTGCTACCAGTTCTGTGGGTGTGGCTTGGTGGGCGTGGCTTGGTGGGCGTGACAGGGAAAGGATACTGCAAAATCCCCATTCCCTCCCCACCCCACTAACCTGCTTTCCAGCTCTGTTTTCCTGTGCAGGGCAACCAAAGAAGACTCAGCCAATCAGCTGGGACTTGGGAGGCAGAGAATAGATGGGGGCGGGGCCAATCAGAGGTGGGATTTGCCGGATCTCCAGACTACTCAAAATTTCTGCTACTGGTTCTCCAGAACTGGTCAGAACCTGCTGAAAGCCACCTCTGGATCATAAGTCATGTTTTTCAGTACTATTGTAACTTGGAATGGTCTCTAAACAAATTGTGTAAGTGGAGGACTACCTGTGTTCATGAAAAAAAACAAACTAAATAGAGATCTTTTATTTTTCTTGGCTGAAGCAGATGGAGAGAATAGCAGAGCTGTTCAACCGGTGACCATAATTCATCCCTTAGTTAGCAAGATTATTGCAATTCTCTGTACCTAAGATATTTGAAAAGCTATAAGCCGTGTACAGAAGAGCCAACCATTTGCTGACTAAGGAAAGCTAGTATAGCTACTGGGAGAGCCAGTTTGGTGTACTGTAGTGGCTAAGGGATCAAACTAGAAACTCAGGGACCATGAGTTCTAATCCCACCTGAGGCACAAAGCCAGCTGGGTGACCTTGAGCCAATCACTCTCTTTCAGCCTTAAGAAGGAAGCAATGGCAGCTTGTAGGGACTTGTTCAGAAAGTTGCCAGAAGTCACTACTGACTCAAAGGCACTCCAAAAAATCATCACCCAAGGAGGCAGCAAGCAAATATGATAAAGAATACATAAGTAATACATGGGAGGGCAAGAAAGTCAAGACAGCAGCTCCGGACATACAGTTGAAGACCTGCCTCCTTCTGTTGGACACATCTATGATGCACGTAAATCAAAAGTGTTGTGTCAAAAAAAGTTAAAATGGCAATTGTAACCTCATAATTGACTGAGCCCAGGACCTCAAACCCATGTGGTCCTGCAAATAAAAATAAAATGACTGTGGCAAAAGAAAGCAAAGATGGTACCATTAGTAATTAGCATTAACTAAATCACAATCAATTGCAAAAAATAAAAAATAAACAGCCACCTTTACTAGTGTAAAAAAATAGCACCCACCTCTCTCCTAGCAGAATGAAATGTTTGGGGAAATATTAAAAAAGCAGAATATTATATTTCCCTAAAGGAGAAACATGCTCTTGGAAAGCAGCCCCCACCTTCTTAATAGCCCCAGCAGGACTAGACCAGTCTATCTACAAAATAAAAGACCTTCAACTCCTAGTATGTCCATAAATCATAATAGGATTAGCCCTCTACCATCTAGCAGTAGAGCTCACCGTATGGTACAACAAGCCCCTTCATTGCATCACCCAGCAAGCTTCAACCAAGCCTGGGACTCAGACAGCCTACAAAGTTAGCAGTGACCCTTACAACAACCAACAGAATACACTTTTTTGCCCAGGAACAGGAAGCTCAAGGGCAAAGGCCCAAGAGATGGTATAAATAACCCTCACTCTCCACTCCATGTGGTCAGCTGAGCCCAGGACCTCAAACCCACGTGGTCCTGTACATCAAAAAACCATCTTTCCAATCACCTCCATGTTTCCAGTGCCTTTCTCCCCACTTGGAACTGAACCAGATAGATATTTCTTCCAACACTAGGAACAGTTAACATCCTGAAGTGATAATTTCAGCAACATCAATCATCAATAGCAGCCTCTTTGCAGGTCCTTGGGAAGGATTCAAAAGGTAGATAAAAAGGCCAAATCCAGCCTAAAAACCTGTCTGACTTAATGGCTAGCTGCCACTAAGAGAAGATCAGATAGCAGTAGTTAGAACAGTCAACGCAACAGGTTATATCCAGACTTCCTAATATGTAGAAATCAATATGAATTAAGTTAGAGATCTTTGGAGCTACTTGTGTGCCATTGCACTAAATTAAAAAGAAAAAAAAAGCCTGTAAGTCAGTTTCAATTAATCTTCTAAGACTCCTTAGATACATTTAAGAATTTTTGCTATATACTTTTAATCTCTCCAGAGGATATATCTTTTTAATATTTTAAATGTGCAATAATTATTTTCTTTAGGCCACTCTAAAGGGCAGAAATGTCCTTTTTTTGGTCCCAATTCTCTGACAAATTTTAGATTTTTCAGAATTGGAAATTTACGGACTGTATTTGTTCTGGGAGAAAGATTTGCCATTCAGGCCCTCAAGGTTAGCTGCCCATGGATTTAAGAGTTTTAGGCATTGTTACCAATGCACAATTTTGAAGGGGATAGGAGAACAGGATCAAACACCTACCGGGTGCGTAATCATATTAATTATATTTTATTTTAATGAAATGTAAATATAAATAACATGCTTTTGAAGAATACCAGTTAAAGGATAAACCTGGCCCTTGGGCCAGAAAACATGACACCTAGAGAGAGTAAGGCACCTCCTGCCTACCTTTTAAAAAAGTACAGGTGTGTTTCTCCATCCTAGTCTTAAGCTTTCTTCCTTCTGATCCAGCAAAATTTTGCAAGATTCTCCCCACTCAGTAACTGCATCATAATCACCTTGAGATCTGGCACCTTGGTAAGGCATCAAGCAATTCAAATGATCGAAAGTAAAACATGACTGGTTCCAGATGAAAAGATTGGATGCCACCCGCCATGGAAGAACGGTTGATGAAACTGACTGATTTTGCTGATTTATAAATTTCTTTGCGTAGGCAAAAGATAAACATGTTTATCTACATGTATTTGATGCCTGGAAACCCTTATGGACTTTTTGAATAAAAAAAATTTAAAAAATGAACTTCTGGTTTACGGCTTTGATGATCTGCCTGGTTATATTGTATGCTGGACATACATGGTTCTCTTTTTAAAAATTTGGTTTTATGTATTTTGGATACTCCCTGTCCCCACTTATTCTTAATTGGAAGCTGCTCAGAGCTGTTTGGGCAGCCTCCAAATTTAATAAAATAAAAACTAAAACAAATTCTGATACATAAGCCTCCTCCTACAATGTTATGTTTCTTGATAATACATTCTACAGTTCAAGTTTTGGCTCCTGTCTACAAGTTCAAGAGTTTATATTCTAAAACTCAGCAATTTCCCCCCACTCCAAGTCCCCTTAGATTCAAGAATATGAATATGATTTTTCTTTCAATTTGATCTAAAATATATTCTCTTCCTCATTCCAAAATCCTGCCTGAAATGCTTTTACCCACTCCTTCAACATAAGCACATCCTTTTAATGTGCAAACCCATCTCTAACAATATTCGGAATGAAAAGTCAAATGCACATTTGCAACATGGCATTAGACTAGATTACGTGAAATCTTACGTCAAAGTCACTTGGGGTCAGTCTGCTTTTCCAATAAGTCTTTATCAGATAATTTCAGCTTCAAGCCCTTTTTCTTCAGAGGAAAATAGGCAGCTATCCAATGTTATCTCATCTGAACAGCCCTTCACATACCAGTGATAGTATTCTTTTAAATCAATGTTTCTCAACCTTAAATCAGTGATAACATTCCCTTAAATCAGTGTTTCTCAATATTGACAGCTTGAAGATGTTTGGATTTCAACTCCCAGAATTCCCAGCCAGTTAGCCTTGCTCTCTTGACTCTATCAAGTTTTGGATGAAAGTCTAAGGCAAACAATGTAGGATAGAATTCAGCGAATGGGGAAGAAGAAAAACTACATTGGATTTACACTTATTTAATACTTAGTTGTATCCAATATGCTTACTGTCCAGTCGTATCATTAATAGTTCCTCCCATCTGTCACATTGGTATTACATGATCATTATGTTGGGGCCCTCAAAATTTTTGTGCCCCAGATTGGGCACCTGTTTGGATTGTTAGGCCCTTTTGTATGCAAAACATTTTTCCCCCGATATCTACTTTCTCATAGTAAATAGGCAAATCAGTTTAAATTATTCCTGGGGATCATCAGACATGAAATGTCTGTCTGTCTGTCTGTCATGCATTCATCCATTCATTCATACTTAGAAACTGCCCATTTCCCTCACAAGAGGAATCATTCTGATACACCCTCAGTTTTTTTTAAGGTAAGGCCTGCTTCCATTGGTGTCCCCCATCCATTTAAGGCAGTGTTTCTAAACACTGGCCACTTGGAGATGGACTTTAATCCACTTTCTAGCGTTAACCACTATACCAATGTGGCTTTCATCAGGCTACTAGTATCACATTTATGTGTTTATTGGTCATATTTATGGCATTATATTCTTATAATAAAGCTGGCCTACAAGACTTGACAGCCTGAAACAAAACACCCATCATTGATAGTCAAGTTCATTGGCATGTCATGTAGCATGCTGCTCCCAACTCAGACTGATCATTGGAAGAACCGACTTGTAGTTCAGCTGAGATCATCAGTTTCACAACCCTTATATATGTTGAAGTTAAAGAACAATTATTATCATTTATTAAATTTGAATGAAACAACAATCAAACAAAAATTACAATAACAGATAAAAGAGGGCAAGTGCAAGAGACCAGGTGAGCAGACCATACAGATTTCTGTTCTATATACTTTATTGGAAATTCCTTTACAACTTAAGTGTCAGAACTGACTTTATATGAAAATCAAAGCTAGGCTCACAAGAACAGTTTTGGTTGGCACCAGAAATAAAAGGAAGTAAATATACTGGGAAGTAAACAAAGAGAAAAGCATAATCATATAAATCAGCTGAAATGCCTCCTTTCAATTCATAAGAAAGGTGTTTATTCACTGAATGGACAGATAAGATTTGCTTAGCAAAACGTCAACATCATACAGTAGTTGTCAGGTTGATTCTCATAATCCATCCATTTCTTTCATCTCTTCCCTTTTTCTATTCCTGCGGACACACAACCTCCAAGAGCCTTTCAAGAAATAGTACAGGCAAGTAGGGGTGAGTCTAAATTTGGAATACTCTTTTTTTTTTTAGTTCAGATGGGCATTGCAGTGTATATCCTTGGAGGAAAAATAAGGTACAATTCCATATTCGCTACAAGGAGGTCATGATGGAAAATATTAATCCTCCCCAGAATGATCTTCAGGAAGATTTCCTAAATCATCCCGCTCAGGTAGGGGTGGCCAAGGTGCTGTTGGCAGCAGTGGTGAGGGCGGGTAAGGGTCATCAGGAAGAGGGGGATTAAGTGACCCAGGAATTTTTCCTGGGTGATGAGGCCCCAAGGGCTTTGGTGGTTGTGGAAATTTGGGCTGCAGGGGATGTGGTGATATAGGGGGACCTTCTGGCCAAGGTTTTCCAGGCACTAGAGGCCCCAAGGGCTGGGGGCTTTCTGGTTTTGGTGCTCCTTCTGGCCATGGTTTCTCTGGAACTGGAACCAATGGACTGTCAGGCTTTGGGACAGGAGGAACGCCAGGTGATCCAGAAGGACCAGGCCTTGAGGGATCTGAAGACATGATGAGATACCACAGAAAGAAGAAAGAACCTGGGGAATCCAGAAAAAAAGAAAAATTTTGTAAAAGTTGACAGTATCCATCTATAAACAGAATCTGATATATAACAATCAACTTTCTGAATAAGTGACAGTCGGAAAACAATAGCAAAATTGATCATCACTATTGACATATAATGGTAAATACTTGACAAGACTTAATGTAGTAAACATTTGACTTACTTGATTGTCCATGAGAAAGCCAATAGAATTGCTACAATTCAGTTAAAGCTAAACATGGATTAACAGAAATAGTAACTTATATGGAAAATCTTGACATGAAAAAATGAAACTTTGAAAGGTAAAACTATGATGGATGTCAGCATTGAGCGAATTTTCATTTTGGGTTAACCAAAGATGGACCAATGGAAATAACCCTTTTCCACTGGATCTTTTGTACATAACAAAAACTCTAAAGAGACAACTCAGATGCTCATATACTATTGCATATCATAAGTAATCCATGCAGCCAAGCAAAGCTATTGACAGACTAAACTCTACTCAATAACTAATGTCCAATACACCACTGTTCAAACTCATCACCCTTCCTCTCACATTTCTCTTGCCTTAAAATGGCCACTATTCAAGACCCAGAGATTTTCTTTCTTCCATCACTTTGATGATGCTTCTTTCACAGCTAAGCAAGTTTGCAGAACCTGCTCTAGAGGGAGGCATGACTGGATATTTATTAGGGCCCCAAGAGGCTCACAGTCCCACATCTCCATTTTGTACAGAATATCCAGAAAGTTCACATACAGTCTAAATAGCCTACATGCTCTACTCCATTTCTACTTGGAGGACCCATTAAAGATGCAATATTCAAAAGCTCCCACATACTGCAGTCAATCTTAAATTTTTGGTAACCAGAAGTTCTTTGTGTTCTTTACCTCCTGTAAGAAGTATTGCATATGTTCATTGCCAATGTATAAAAAATCCTAGATTTGTTCCCAGGTATCTCTATTTAAAAGTTCAGGTGTGTCTGTCAGCAGTCAAAATACTGGTTTAGATGAGCAAATAGTCAGATTTACCTTTTAATGCAGGCTCCTTTCTTTTACAACATAAATCTGAGTCATTTCCCTGCAAATATTTGCAGCATTTGCACCATCCACAGCCCACTTTCAAAGATGTCCTATCCCCACTTCCCAATCCACAGCTTTCAAACAAATTATCTAGATATTATCTACCTAAAAGCTGGAAAATGATGGTTCTGGTTTCCTCTGGAAGGCAATGGTTCTCTGGTGTGCAGCAGGTTCAGTTTAGCTTATAAACCTACAAGGGCTAGCAAAATCAGTTGTAGGAGTTACCCAGATGGTTTTGACTCCACCCAAGATCACCTAATGAAATCCACCGATGGGAATATGTGTCAGCATACCTTGGAGACAGGGATAGACAAGGCAGAGAATACAAGGATATCTGGAGAGTCCAGGCTAAAAGTGTGGGGAAGAGACTCATGAAGGAAACACAAAACTACTCTGAGAAGAAAAAAAGAAAAAAAACACCCATAAAATAGTTCTGTGAATCCATCTGGGAAAGGAAGAGCCATACTTATTAGAATCAACTAGGATGACAATTGAGTTGAACTATGATTATGCATCTTCTGCCAACCTAGCAGTTTGAAAGCATGCAAAAATGCAAGTAGAAAAATAGGTACCACTTTGGTGGGAAGGTAACAGCATTCTGTGCACCTTCGGCGTTCAGTCATGCCAGCCACATGACCATGGAAACGTCTTCGGACAGCGCTGGCTCTTTGGCTTTGTAATGGAGATGAGCATTGCCCCCTAGAGCCAGAAACAACTAGCACTTATGTGTGAGGGGAACCTTTACTAGGATTATGAACCTAAATTAGGATAATAAATGATTGTATTATAATAATTGATTATGTGCCATAAGTCATAATTGACTCATAACAACCACACCGATAGATTTTCTCCACGATGATTTGTCCCTATCATTATTATTATTATTAATTATCAGGCTTCATGTAAAGGAAGAAATAATCAAATAAGACACAATTACATCCAAATGTTTGCATCTTCCTCCTTAGAATCCTCCAGATAAGAAACTTCAACCAAGGTTGGGATTTTCTTTTATTGTGGTTGCTATTTTTCCTCTTTAAATCTCCGCAAAGTGATTAAAAACAAAAATCAAAGGGACCCCCGATTTTGACCCTGCTCAATCTCTGAAGCAGTTTTGGGAGGATGCTGGGAAGCCACATGTAGCCCATGGTCTTAAAGTATGCAGTCTTCAGCTGAATTACAATGATTTAGACTCAGGTAAAAGCAGGAGTAGGTTTCAAAAAATTTAACAAAGGTTCTCTGCCCTGTTGCTGGGTGAGTGTGACCATGGTGGCTATGGCCTAGTTGGCCTCCTGCATCATGGCGGGTCCTCCCCAAGTTCCAGGAGGGCAGAAATGGCCTCCCTGGGCTCCAAAGGCTCTCTGGAAGCTGGAAAAAGGCCCATTTCTGGCTTCGCAAATTTCAGGGAGGCCTGGTTTTCACCCTCCCTGAGCCTCCATGCATTACCCCCTGCACTTACCTATATCCAAACGGGCCATGTGGGGACTCCTCAGAGGGGAGGGGTAGGGTGGACAGGGCCAGCCAGGAGTGGGCTTTGAAGATTCTGTGAATTGCACAGAATCTTAGCTAGGGGCTCTTCCGAACCCCCAGCAGCCCATCCCTGGGTAAAAGCTCTGCTCCCCTTCCATGCTCTCTGTTAACCCTGAAGTTGGCTGAACTGTCGCCATTTTGTTTTTTTGTAGTTTCTAGTGAGGTTTCTTTTCTCACAGCTTCAGGTTTGACACAGCCTGGGGTGAAGGGACCAGGGAGTGGGGTGTAGAGATTAGCTGGGGTATTGTAGCCTAAATAAAATTCTTTCCCATGGGAATCAAGGACGTTGGTGCGGGTGTCCAAAAGGTGGGGAATGAGGTCACCTAGCAATTGGGCTGTATGCTGATTGGACCATGTGACTGAGACTCTGTGGGGGAAGTGACAAAGTTTTACTTTTAATTGGAGATAAAACCGGTGGCAGCTTAGAGCCAGTTTTCCACCAGGAATATGTCAATTTGATATGTCCTAATCAAAATGTGCTTTGAGAAACTTGCTTGCCTTCGAGTTCTTATTGAATGGGAAACGGGTTCTGCTAAACAAGAAAACAATCCCATCTTTTTAAGGATAGTTTTCCCTCCTGATTGCTTCAGAGCTGTGCACTGTGTGGTCCCCAAAGTATTACTCCTGAAAATATGCCATTCACTACAGAAAAAGGCCATGGACCTCTTTCTGAAACATGATGGAGGGGTATAGAACATGCTATAACATTTTAAAACTTGCAATAAGCTTGTATTAAGGTAAAATACATGGGTTGAGTGTGGAGCTCCTTGGAGAGAAACACATGAGGTTGCATTGAGGTTGTTTTGCCACATAGGTATGAGAAGCAATCTCCAACATTTAGGATTAGTTAGGATTTAGCAATGAAGAAAATTGCAATTAAGAAGGGATTTTCTAGGGACTGTTAAGAACTGTCTGGAGCCAGAGCTTTTGGAAGCCAGGAAAGAATTATTATATACTACATGGAGTCTGATTTTCAGAAGAGAAATAATCTAGTACAGGAAACAGGTAATGCGTGGCAAAAGTGAGACAGTGATGGTGAGCTACAAGGAAGAGAGATCATAATTCTTTATTTGTGTGAAGTTGTTTGTGAAGGAAATTGGAAGGCTTCTCCTGAAAATGTTTGTGTACTTTGCACTTCAGAATCGCAGGAAGGTAAGGTCAGAGGCATGTTAGGAATTGCAAAAAAAAAAAACCAAAACAGATTTGAGGTCGTCATCATACAGAGAGGCAATATTTTTGTCATAACCCCATGGCATGGATCCAGTGGTGGGATTCAAATAATTTAACACCGGTTCACCCAGGCTCAGGTTGGCTGTCGTGGGAGGCATGGCCAAACCTGACCCTGGGAGAACTAGTCGTTAAATTACTACTACCACCACCTGCTATCAAAGTGGATCTTGGGCACTATACTGCAATGGAGAAATAGGCAATGGAGCAGCCAGCACAAAGGAAGGAGGAGGAGAAGAAGAAAGAGGGAAAATGGCCTTATCCTTCCCTCATGCCAGCCACTCCACTACCTGTTCCTCCACTGAAGCACAACACCCATGATCCACTTTAATAGTGGGGATGGGTAGGTGGGTAATTTAATAACCAGTTCACTTGAACTGGTGCAAACTGGCTGAATCCCACCACTGCATGGATCTACATGAAAACATAGCAAACAAAGCAACTCACAGCCAAGATCCATGATCTGCTGCACACTCAGTAGAAAAATTAAAAGTTGAGCCAGTGGATAAAATTTCAAAGATGCAGAAATTTAAATGAAGAAACTGTATCTGGGCATCCAAGAAAGGGCTTCTGTTAAGACACAGTATTCATTTCAAGCAGTTTGAATGAAAAATAAATGGGGATTGATTGCAAAGTTAGATGGTGTAATCTGATAAGAACAAGGCAAGGAAATGCTTTGGGAATTTTTTAAAAAAATGATCTTTAATAATTCTTTCGCCAGATTTCTTATTGTTTTGCTACATTTAAAAAATAGGAAATTCCATTTTAGTTTAACAATTAGTTTTGGCTACTGTAGAATCTGTGGTTTGAGGAATCCAATTCATCAATTAACAACAAATTAACCTGACAATAACATAGTCCACCAATGCCCATATTTTACCAGTGATATACAGACATGCATATATAATACAGTATCTATATTTCACTGAATGAACTGCCTTCTGGCCAGAAAAACTAAGATAAGATAGGATCTTTATTGTCATTTTTCTGTAGGCATTCTGACACTCATTAAAAATGAAATTTTGTTGCCTGCTCTCAAAAGTGTACACATACATAACAAACATATAGACATGCTATATACATACATATGTGTATACCTACACCAAAACATAAATCAATAAAAATATTAGTCACTGTCCATCTTGAATACATAGCAGAAAG